CGCAGACCGCAGACCGCAGACCGCAGACCGGCAACCGCAAAAATTCAGAGAATCTGAAGAACGCGCCGCACTGCTGCACCGCACTGCGCTCCTGCGGCCTGGAGAATTTTGCAGAGCGCGCGACTGAGCCGTGGCAGCCAGGCCGCCTTGGCGTAGGAATTCTTCATCTCGTCCGGGCGATGATGCCCTTTCGCGGACCCATAAAAATTCCTCTCCGGACTCGACCCGCCCATAACGTTGGGCAGCGCCGATTGACCCGATTGTGAAAAAATCGAGATGTATCTTTGTACGCTCTCACATTGCTCAACTTGACCCGTTCGCTCTGCAACCTGGGCCCGAATCTGCAGGCTTGGCTGTCTTAAACTCGGCGGCGGCTGCAAGGGCCAGGCAGCCCAGCAGCAGCGCCCCGTGCTACGCCCATCGCGGCATTCGCAGCAAGCACGCAAGCACGCAAGCCCCGAACATCGCCGCAGCGGGCGCCATAGAGGTACAATGCAAGCCCACACTGGCCACGGGCGACTCCATAAGCTCGAATGTCGAGCGTTGGCTCAATCGGCTTCGGGATCTACTTTGAGCGGCGGCGGATGGCGACCCTTTTTCTCGCAATTTCTCCCCCCATTTGGCAGGGCGGGCGGGTGAGTCGGCTTGCTGCCTCCACACTGCAGTCCGCTCTTTCAACGGCACTCGAGCCTCGCAGGACGCTAAAATCTCAGGCGGGACTCAGCCGAGATGGGCTGGCTTACGCATGCGACCGAGGCAGCAGCTGCCAGAGCACACCACCGGCCCCAGATTGCCCCGGTGCCGCCGCTGACTTTGGGCCCCAAGCGCGACGCCACCTGCTGCACCGGCTGCAACCCCGCACACCCTTGCCCGCCCGCCCTAACCCTCGCATGAGAGCACGATGCGCGCCCGGCTGCTGTGCCGTTCTGTCAGCCTCTCACACACGCTCACCCAATCCACTCGCTCACTCACGAGCTCCACAGCTGTCCCAACCACCAGGGCCTCGCTCGATACCTTTGCTCAACCTCCATCTCCAGTATCCGACAAACAGCCTCCTCCGATTCTTGTCTATTCCACCCCGCTCTATCCTCGACCACGCTCGTATCCGCGCCACCATCTCGAGGCCTTGTCTGGCCATTCTTATCTAGCCAAGACCACCGCCATCGCCCAACATGAATCCTAGCATCTCCATTCCCGATCGCCTCCCCGTCCTGCCTCTCCCCTATCCGCTCGTCCTGCATCCCAACCTCTTACTCTCCATCAACATCTCGTACGCCCATTCGCTCAGCCTCCTCAAGGCAGCCCTCCAGTACTCGACCCTCAAGGATGACGTCGAGTCCAGCAACGACGCCTCCCCGCGCTCCCGCCAGCAGGGTCGCTCGCGCCTCGACTCCAACAAGCCCATCATCATCGCCTGCGTGCCCACCCTGAGGGCACCTACCGGCACCGCCTCCTCCGATAAGCCCGCGTCTCGCGCCACCAATCCAGCGCTGCCCGCCGACTCGGCCGCGCGCAACCTCACCTCTGCCGAAGACAACGACGTTCGCATTCGCATCAACGACCTCTACGACTGGGGATGCGCCGCACGCCTCATGCGTCTCGTTCGCAACCCGCAGAACCAGACCTGCACCCTCCTCGTCTCCGGCCTCACCCGCGTCCGCATCGATCGCTGGCTCTCCATCCGCGCCCCCCTCACCGCCACCACCATCGACCCAAAGAGCAACCTCGCCATCCCAGACGTGCCCATCCCACTCGCCACCGCCACCGCCTTTGTCGACGACGAGTCCTGGCCCACTTTCCCAGAAGCATCGCCCGGCGACATCGACCTCGTCGTCAGGCTCAAGAAGGCCTCTGCAGAGCTCATCGACGCCATCGCTCAGCTCAACCCTCCCAGCGACGGCAATGCCAACACCCCTTCGCCCATCGTAGGCCCTGCCCTGCCTCTGCTGCCCGCCAGCTTGCTCAAGAAGCTGCGTGGCTTCATGCAGGACTGTCGCGAGTCCCAGGCGGCTCTCCTCGCCGACATCGTCGTCGGCACCCTCGGCGGCGCCTGCGAGTGGTCCGAGCGCGTCGCCATCCTCGGCGATTGGGACCAGCGCGAGCGCGTTCGCCACTCGGTCGACGTCATCCTCAACGGTGTCAAGCGCGTCAAGCTCGCCCGTGAGCTCATCGTCGCGCTCTCCTCGCCCCTCAACCCCAGCAACAAGGAGACCGTCATCCGCTCCCAGCTCGAGGCGCTCCTCACCCAGCTCGCAGCGCTCAACCAGGGCGTCGCCGCACGCATCTCCGCCATCACCTCCAACTCCGCCAACCGCGACGACAACAAGCTCGGCGGCGGCGTCATCATCCGTGCGCCCAACTCGCGCAACAACACCAACAACGACAACGGCAGCATGCCCATCATCACCGGCCCTCTCGGCGGTCGACGTGGTGCCAAGCCGGGCATCAAGGGCGTGCCCGGCGGCGGCGGTCTGCCCGGATCCGGCGGCGGCGACGACGACGAGGACGAGCTCGCCGAGCTCGCCAAGAAGCTCGACCAGGCTCGTCTCAGCCCCGAGGCGCGCAAGGCTTGCGACAAGGAGCTCAAGCGTCTCGCCCGCATCCCCCAGCAGAGCGTAGAGCGCGGCGTCGTCATCACCTACCTCGAGATCATGGCCGAGCTGCCGTGGGAAAAGATCAGCGCCGACCTCGAGCCTGTTCGAGACCCCAACGACAAGGCGGTTGTGCTGCATCACAAGAGCGCCAACGCCAGTGCAGCCGCCCCGGCCGTCGAAGAAGAAGAGGGCATCGTCGACCGCGCACGCCGCATCCTCGACGCAGACCACTACGGCCTCGAAAAGGTCAAGAAGCGCCTCATCGAGTATCTCGCCGTGCTCGAGCTCAAGACCACCCAGGCCAGGGAGCGCTTCGAGGCCGAGGAGGACGCAGAGCGCAAGGCAGTGGCGGAGCGTCGCAAAGCCACTCCATCCGCTTCCACCGACGAAGCGGCGGCCGACGGCGCCGATGACGACGACCTGTCTGCCTTGGCAGGCGCAGAAGAGGGTGAGGATCTGGTGGCGCGCGAGCAGGGCATCTCCAAGGAACAGATCGACGATGAGAAGCGCCGCCGACGCAACGAGAAGCTGCGTGTGGGCGACAAGGGCCCCATCCTCCTGCTCGTCGGTCCTCCGGGCACGGGCAAGACGTCGATCGCCAAGTCGCTCGCCTCGGCTCTCCAGCGTCCCTTCACGCGGCTCTCGCTCGGCGGTGTACGCGACGAGGCCGAGATCCGTGGCCACCGCCGTACGTACGTGGGCGCCATGCCTGGCTCGATCGTGTCGTCGCTGCGCAAGGTGGGCGTGTCGGACCCGGTGATCCTGCTCGACGAGGTGGACAAGCTGGGCAGCGGCAATGGGCTGCACGGCGATCCCATGGCGGCGATGCTCGAGGTGCTGGATCCGGAGCAGAACCACACGTTCAGCGACCACTACGTCAACGTGCCCATCGACCTGAGCCGCGTGCTCTTCATCGCCACCGCCAACTCGCTCGACACCATCTCGCCGCCGCTGCTCGACCGAACCGAGGTGATCCACATCTCGGGCTACACGCACGACGAGAAGACGGCGATCGCGCGCCAGTACCTGCTGCCCAAGCAGATCAAGGCGCAGGGGCTGGAGCCCGATCAGCTCGTCGTTTCGGACGACGTGCTGCTCAAGGTCGCCATGGGCTACACGCGCGAGGCGGGCGTGCGCACGCTCGAGCGCGAGATCGGCGCGCTCGCCCGTGCCAAGGCGGTCGAGTACTCGCAGTCCAAGAAGGGCACGCTGCGCGACGACAATGGCCAGCCCAAGCAGTACGACCCCGTGATTCGCGAGTCGGACCTGGAAAAGTACCTCGGACCGGACACGTACGAGCCCGAGGTGGCCGAGGCCAACGCACGCCCGGGCGTTTCCACGGGCCTTGCCTACCAAGGATCGGGTTCGGGAGGCATTTTGCACATTGAGTCGCTGCTGCTGCCGCCGGGAAGTGGCTACCTGAAGCTGACGGGCTCGCTGGGCGATGTGATCCGCGAGTCGGCAGAGTTGGCGCTGTCCTGGGTCAAGGGCAATGCATTCCAGCTGGGCATCGTGCACACGCGCGACTCGGAATTCCCCAAGAACGACATCCACCTGCATCTGCCGTCGGGCGCGATTCCCAAGGACGGACCGTCGGCGGGTGTGGCGATGACGTGTGCGCTGGTGAGTCTTTTGACCAAGACGCCCATTTCGCCGTACCTGGCCATGACGGGCGAGGTGACGCTTCGCGGTGTTGTGATGCCTGTGGGTGGCATTCGCGAAAAGCTCACGGCGGCCTCGCGCGCCGGCATCCGCAAGGTGCTGCTGCCCCACCGAAACCGCAAGGACGTCGAGTCGGATCTGCCCAAGAAGGTGCGCGACGAGCTCGAGATCAAGTACGTCAAGACGGTGTGGGAGGCCATGGAGGCGGCGTTCGGAAACAAGCTGTTTGAGAATGCCGCGCTCGCACTCGAGGCCAACGGATACGGCCACGAGCACGAGGGCATCCGCGAGGGCCGCAGGCTCATGCACGAGATCGAAGACTCGCGACTCTAGACCCGCTTCCTCGCCTCCTTGTTCATTCTGTATCGCTTTCACTTGTATGTATTGTATTGTACCAACTCAGGTCCCTTGTGGTGCCAAAAGTGTGTGTCTCCATGACAAAGTCTGACGGAGATGGTGAAGAGGGTGGGATCGGGAAGGAGTCGCCCGATGCAAAAGTGGCGTGGAAGTGTGCGGTATCAAAAATCGCCCCGCTGGGGAGGGAGGGGCATTGGGAGCTGTCAGAACGGCTCTGCCAGGGTCGTCAATGGAAGCGGAAGCCAATCGCCGGACAGTCTCTCGCAGGGCTGCATAAGCGAAGCGTGTAGATTAGCTAGCTGGGCCTGCATTTCCCACGTCCTCTGCGGTGCTTTGGGCGCTTATACATTTTTCCTCCCCCGCTCCGAAAGACCTGAGAGGCAGAGGGAATGGAGAGAGGTGGAGAGAGGCACGGCACGTCGCTTACCTCATGTCCATGCCAAGAGCACGCATCGGCACAAGCCTTTGGTGGGACCCCCCTTTGTGGCATTTTTCGCCCTTCGCAGTCTCCCCCTGGTGGTCACCCATATGCCGCTGCCAGTGCCAGAAGCAGAGACGTTGGTCAGCTTTCCCGTGGCTGCGATTCAGACAATGCAGGGTTGCTGGAGGTCCGCGGCGATTGCAATTGGCGAGTGACAGCTGCATCGCTGACAGCGGCGCCGCGTATGTGCTTGGCAGCCCGATATCGCGCCGGGTCCCCTCCGTGCCAACAGCAGCCAATGTTTTCATGAGGCGTGCCGGGCATCAACAGTCAGGATAGAACCCGCAGCTGTCAGGTAGGCAACCACTGTGATGTTCGCAGCTCTCAGATAACCGGGTGGCAAATATATCGAACTCGAAGACGAATTGCGAGCGTGCATTTTGGCAGCCTTAATTTTCCGGAAATTTTCCTCAGCTTTTGTTGGATTCTTGGTGGGTTGCAAAAGGCAAACAAGGCTCAGTCGGGACGGAAGACGTGTCGCGACTGAGCGAGCATCGCCTTACGCTGGCTTTGGGCCTGGTCCGGGCTGGAGCTCTGGCTCACCCTGCCCCAGCCCAGGTCTGCGCTAGCCCCCACGTCGCAGTAGCAAAGATGGAGCGAGTGAGGAGCTTATTGCGTTGCTCAGCCCACAAGTCTGATCCGAGTTGGTGGAATTCGAGGCCGTGAATGAACGGCTGCATCGAAGCCCCCAGCGCGATGATTCATTGGTGAGCCACACGGCGCGAAGCTTTTTCGGCAGGCCGAGGCCGACCGACGTGACGGAGTCGAGGGAGCGACGGCACGCAGCAATCTCGGTCCAAGGCCAGAAACACGCTCTTACCCTTATGGCCGGCTTACATTCGCCACCCTACCAATCTCGCTCTCCCTCCATCCTTTCCACACGCTGCCCGACCCTCGCCTCCCTCTGCCTCCCCTCGCCTCCCCCCCGCCCCGCTAGCCCCTTGGCAACACCTGCGATCATCGCTCACTCTTGCATCGCACCCGCACCGCATCCCTCGAGACCACCACTGGAGCACGATCGACCGCGCCACCCTCCTTCCGTGGCCAAGCGCATCCACGCATCCCAACCACTCCAGATCGAGTCCGGTTCCGCTACTCTATCATCATCTTGACTGCGCATCTCCTCGCCAACCCTTCCGCCTGGTAGGACTCTGCATCCTCTCCCCTCTCCAACACGTCCGGCTTAGCTCCAACATCAGCCTCGACCTCGTATCGCACCACCCGTAAGCGGCTCAACGGGCTCAGTGGACACCCAGCACAGCAGTCCCGTCCATCTTGACATCAGCCCCGCAAACACCATCTTGTGATCCCTCACCTCTCGGCTTTCCCCTGCTTCAAGACTTCGTCGGCAAGCGATAGCGCGCGTGTACTCCTTAAACCACCTCCACTCGCTTCCACATAAGCTTGCGCGTCGTCAGAGCATCCACACCCGCGAAAGCAACCGCACCCGTAGCTGGCGCCCACCACCGCCATGTCCAATTCGTACCAGCTGCAGCAGCAGCAGCAGCAGCAACAGC